GATTGGTCAATTCTGATTCTAAGCGGATGCTTTATCAGGTTATAGAGCCCGCATTTGATTGGCGATAACTGGTTAAGTCATAAAAGCAATAGAACATTTTTTTGAGCTCCATAACTTGATAAAGCCACTTGGGATGTTGGGTGAACACTCACAAAGCTTATAAAGAACTTTGCTTTGGCGCGTGATTCATAAGCTTTTCTCATGCTCACCCAACATGCCGCATGGCTTTATCACGTTAGAGCAAGGAAAATGTGTTTTATTACCCAATAAAATTACATGGACCGAAAGATTTTACTTTGGATACCATCTATGTTGAATATTGACAATTCTGTATTGCTTATCGGTAAAGTAGGTAAATAAAGGTAGTGCCTGATAGTGTTCTTCTTTGTAGTTCTTAGGTACCCTGACCATCTCTGTTTTTGCCTACTATGCTGAATAATTTATTTACTTTGCTTTCTCCACTAAAGCAGTATGCACAAATATGTGTAATGATTCAAATAAATGTGCATCAGGGGTAATGCTAATTGATCTGTTTTTTCTGGATAGAACATCTCTTCTAAACTGGCATTTATACCAATTCTAAAATTTATTTTTAATTTTTTTTTTATTAAATTTGACTTTGCAGGTTTGTCATGGCAACACTCCTTGTGCACAGCATGTAACTTCCTTTTCCCCACAGACTGTACACTGTTAACCTTTTAAATTCCTGAAGTGATGAACATGTAATTTTTCCTGATAATATGCCCAAACAGTATCCAACAAACAGATAGAAGTTGTTATCTAGATCTGACACCATATGCATATTCCAATAATAAATTTAATAGAAAATGTGCAGCAGCTAGAGGGGGAACTAATAAACAGATCTTGGGAGTTGTAGGGTCAACCAAGTTAGAACAATTTTCTATGTGTTCTCCTTGTCAAGATTCTTCTTGCATGAACAGAATACAGTTTGAAATTTGCTACATTTCACCTCTGTCCATGATCCAACTTCAAAGTTGCTCTCACAGACTCCCATTCACGATGCCACTCATAGGAAATATAACATTATTGCAAAGTGGAATGGAATTAAAAGTTCAGTCAGTTTTACTGTAAATTACTGAGGGGCATGGAAATTTATGAAAATTAATTAATCCAAGAACTATGACTACAGACTTCAGTAAAAAAATGAAAAGACAATTCAGAGTGACTTAATGTTTTCAAGTAAAAAATTTAAGAGTTGAGCTATAAAAGGTACATCTTCCATTACTAAAGTGAAGGCTTAGTTAAATAGAAGCCTCTTTGCAATTTAAAAAGGAATAATGGGACTATCGCTATGATAATAACAGAATATGCAGTGGCGGATCCAGGGGGAGGGTCCAGGGGATCCGGACCCCTCTATCAGACCTGACGCTTACAACTTTGAGACTGAAATTCTTATATCGACAGGATCGTAGATCAATTTTTAACTGGCTGATTTTTTTAAAGAATCCAAGTAAACGGTAGGCGGCCAAGGAATTATAATGTGCAACCGTGACTAGTGAGAGGGGGTGTGGTGGATGTGGGAGAGAAGTAATCTGCCTCAAAAGAGTCCAACAGTCCTTTCTGAACCAAAGTTTGGACCCTCCCAATCAAAAATTCCTGGATCCGCCCATGATATGAGGTAGTAAGAAAGAACTGAAGGGAGTCACATTTAACATCTACAATCCAGATGCGAGGATCAATACTCAGTAATCTGACAGCCACAAATTTGGATTTGGTTCACTAAATATTTTCATACAATAGTTTCTATCTCTTCATGTATTTCACCAGTTTGTGATGTTTCAAAGTTTTCTCCATTGCCTTCTTGTTGGCTTCTTTGTGCTGTAGTGTCTATATCCAACACAATCTCTTCAGTTGCAGCTGTCGTGGAACTCTGCTCCTCTCCAACTGCTGAAGGAGACATCTCAAGAGAAATAACACCATCTTCCCTTGATTGCTCCTCATTCAAATTCAGGGTCACTTCATCATCATTGCTAACAATGTTGGGTTCATTACACATTGCACTATTTGTACCTTCATCCACCACATCAACAGTTGTAGCTTCTTGATGTCTTGACTGTTCTTCGTTTATATTTGTAGTTATTTCAAAGTTATTGCTAGCAGTGTTTGGTTCATTTTCTGTTGTATTATTTGTATTTAAATCAGCAACATCAACATCAACATCATTTTCTTGTGTAACACCGCCTGGGTAAGGTGGTGGAGGAGAATCATCTTCATCTTCATCAGAACTGCTGTTTGATCCAACAGAAAAAGTTCTTCCATTTTGGTTCTGCCTTGGTGATATGCTGTTACTATTCTGAGCTACCATCTGGGGGCTGGATTCTGGTGTGAGATATCTTTCTGGATGATGCATGACTAGCAGAGTGCAGAAACAAATTTAAGACAAATGTATGAAGCCAGTTTTTCAGCAATTATCCAGAATAAATTAATTTCTCTATGTCAAACTCTAAACTGCACGTAGGTGTTTATTACATATAGGCATAAGATTTCCTTCTGAAAATTCTTGCATTTTGGGGTAACCATGCAAACATTAGTGAGAACAAACCCAGCATCCACTAATTCAAAAAGGGAACTGCACAATTTCACACGACTTTTACAAAGACTTCCTTGTCTTACTTCTTCAAAAATATTCATATTCAAGGGCACAAATCAAATCAGATTTATTTATTATATACAGTATTACATAGCCTGATTCACAAATTATACACCAGATTGCTTCAGACTGCATCTGTCACTTTTTTCTGTCTGCATTTAACTGTAATCAAAGTAAATGAGAACTAATGCCACATCCTCAACATCTCAGTGGCTCACCACTTGCATCAAACTCTGTGTATGCCACTTTTCTTTCTGGTTTTGTTTTTGTTGCCACATTTTTGTCATCAAAAACAAAGAAATGAGAATTAAGTAAAAGCTGTGAATAACCCTCCTTGTCAACGGTTTTCTACCTTTTCTTGAGCCTTGCAGTTGGTGAATGAGAGCCAGTTCAACTGATTGATTAGAAAAAGCAGCATTGTATTATTCATTTGCAAGTAATGTTGCACATACCTGTGCTGTAAGAAGGAGGAAAATCCCCTTGATATGTGTAAGATTCACTGTGACCAATCTCCTGTCGGTTAGGGTTGTTTTCTCGTAGATCACCGCCACAACAGTTGCATGCTCCTAACATAATGCAGCGCAGCATACCAACTCCAATGAAAACTATTGCACAGAAGACAGCAGCAACAATGCCAGCAGTGGCTTGTGAAATAGAAGAACCTGGAAGGAAGTGAATTTAAATATCTTTAATCAGTTTTGGCTATAAAAGTAGTTGGCATATACTTTTAACAGTGTTGTAATTTACCTTAGCCTGAAAAGTAACAGTGAGAGCTATTGTCAATTAAACTGTCTAGAAATACAGTCTAACCTTGATTGTGCAGATTTTCAGATTATTCCTTCTTGCTAGTCTCTGGTCCCATTTTACCATGAAAATTGATCAGTCACATTTGAGATCTGCATGAACTTTTTCCCATAAAACAAAGCAGTTGTACTGAAACAATGCTGAACTGCCATGCACACATGCTGTACAAATTTTGGCAATGATGCATTGACCATTAAGGGCATTATAAGGATCTTTCAAGATCTTATGAATTGAATTTATTCATAGATTTAGGGCAATTCCATGACTTTTTAACAGTTTCAACATAAATAGACATGAAGACAGTTTCACAAAATCTTACCCTCTTTAAAGTTGGTTTCATAATACAGAGAAAAGCCTGAATGGGAATCAGCTATTGAATCAGAAACAAACTGCACTGTCATTGATGACCCTTCTATCTGCATAGAGTCTGGTAGGGCACTTCCACAGATCTTTGCCTCAAGAACCACTTCTGCATCCTTTCCCAACTGTTTGCGGAAAATTGCAACATAATCTGTACATTCCCCACCAGCAGATCTGGGCTGAAGGTCAAAATAACTGTCAAACAAGGAACACACCCAGGTTAGCTTAGGACTGGATTGATTTAACAGAAAATTAACCATTATATCTAAAGGCTGTTGACTCCCTCAGTTTCCAAACATGGATAACTAACATGGATAACTAACAATTATTCAAAGTGGAGGTGAATGGTGGTAGATATTTACCGAGAGGTGAAGCAGTGAGGTAGATATCCATTACTTCCACTGACACCAAGGTGCATAACAATAGTGTTTTTAAATAATATATACCCTGCAGATACCAAAAAATTAATTATTTCTTTCCAAAAATCGTCAGAAATTATACTTTTAATGCTGAATTATTTTCTCATTGGTTGCTCAGAGGTGAATAGTGCTAATTGCTATTCACTTTTGACCTAGCCAATCAGTGCATGCGAAAAGCACCATTCACTTCAGTCATAAATAAATGAAAAATGTAAATTGAAAGGTTTTAATTAGCAAAATCACATTATTTTAGGTAGGTAGTGTTTTGTCCTCAAAATGGTAACAATTTAGGGTTCCTTTTCTTATGAGGTCGATCTTACCAAGGCGTGGTAGTGTGTCGGACAACGTGTTGGTTGATCTCACCAATGTGTCAGTAGTGTGCTGGCTGATATGTGTTGGCCAACGCGTTGGTCGATCTTGGTAGTGTTTTCCATTGTTGTCCAGGGAATGGGGATACGTGCCTAGCTGACTTTTCTCTGAAAACTGCAATTAACTTTGAACCTTACCTGAATGAAATTTTAATGTTCTCCACAGAACCTTCAACAACTATGGTCCAGATACAGTCCTGTTCCATAGGGTACCCATTCGGGTAATTAGGGGATGCAATGGTTCCTGATGAACTATCCCTGTGATCCCCACATTTCCCTAAAACTAGATAAAAAAAGGCTGAGTAAAATATTCACACCTTTTATTTTTTAGGTACACTCAGAGAAATCATAATGATTGTATAAATACACTTGTATACTATCATGCTTTTCACCTATCAAGATATAGTTTTACATCAAACCTCCCTTTTAGATTTTTTGCCATTTGTGTGAATCTCTGCCGTAGCATATAGCGCATTGAGCTATGCTCTTATAATTACAATTTAAAACCCTTCACTCCAAAACTTGTTGACATGAAATTCAAATGTTCCACCAAAAAGTTGTTAGGAGAGCAGAAAATCAATAACCAGTTGGAGGATGTATTTTGATATAACATCAAATTCTCATAACAGTTGATGAGGAAGTGCATAGCAGCTGCAAGTTAGAGAACATTGCTACTTAAATCTTGGGAGTTTATGAGTAAATGCCTCACAAGTGATAATGACCAATCAGTGAATAAAGTTGGGCATGATATCATGAATTATCAATGCCAAGGTCTAAGTTATCTGCCAAAGCTGAAGACTGAGGCAGATAACACAGACACGAGGTTTGATAATTCACCTGATATCATGTGAAAACCGAGTTCAATAATTGTTTCATTTATTTTTAAAATCTGAGTTTGCTAAAGTTTAAGAATACTTCATGGTCAAGGGGCTCAGGAACTAAGTGGACTTTGAACTCAACATGATGACCTGGGCAATATCTGCTGCATAACTATATTGGGTCTTCATGTCAACTTCACATGCTATTATATATTGACTCTATGCTCTCAACTAATCAGAGTTTTTGTTGTAAGTTTGGTGTAAAAAAATGACACAATTGAGTAGGGAAACAAAATGGCTGAAGTTTCTGTCGTGTGTAGTTGACAACTTGAGATTACCATTGGCCAAGAAGGGGTTGTAAAATGGGAAAATTACGTCATGAGCTATCTCAAACCTCCAGAAGATTAGGAAAAAACTGTTGAGATAAGAGATTCTCTGTAAAATTACTTTAACACAGGTGTAAAGGCATTGAAACTGCCTCAAAATCAATACAACATGAATTCAAGATATTGTGGAAACCATGATGTAAGGTGTGCAACCTTAAGTTGGGACTTCCAGAATTTGCCTAAACTTTTTTTTTCTGTTCATTCAGCTCTATCAAGAAAAATGTTTTCTGGTCCTGAGGAGGTTCATATCTGAACTGAAGCTTTGATTGTTTGAAGAATGTTTGGAAAGAGTGGGTAATTGAGTGAATGTTTTATAATTAATTTTGCAATCTGCAAGAACCTTAATGGCAAGTAATTCATGGCAGTCTCCATATAGACTCCCTGTTACCCAGTCTCCATATACCCTGTGTACCCTGTGTATGTACCCTGTGTACCCCTGTGTATGTACCCTGTGTATGTACCCTGTGTACCCTGTGTATGTACCCTGTGTATGTACCCTGTGTATGTACCCTGTGTATGTACCCTGTGTACCCTGTGTACCCTGTGTATGTACCCTGTGTACCCATGTATACCCTGTGTACCCATTATACCCTTTGTACCCATGTATATCATGTATACTCTTGTATACCTTGTATACCCTGTCTACCTTGTATACCCTGTACACCCTGTATATTCATGTATACCCAAGTATACCCTGTATACCATGTAAACAGGAAACCTGGCAAACATCAGTTGGAAACAATGGAAGCTCTCTGACCGTGCACAATCCCTTTTTGTTTGTTCACAAATGAATTATGAATAGCTTATTATGATTTTATTAGCCCAGGGCGGGAAATCCCATATAAAATGGAATGGGATGCTCGTCTGGAATTTTGGATTAAACTCCCAAAGGAGACAAATGTGGGCATGGCCCAACCATTTTTGGACCCCTAAATGAGACCATTTCAATCTTTAATTACATGAATCGAGTAAATAAAGCCTGGAGCAATTGGCTCTTGAGTAACAGGCTCCTGAGAAAAAGAATTTTTTAAATATATTTTTCATCGCATGCAACCCTAAAAGAGACCCTTACAGCTAAATGTAACTCAGTTTTTCCCAGAACACCCAAAGTGAGACCATTATCTTGAAATTTACACCCCTAAGAGAGACAATGACCATCGCAGTCCTTTTTATATGGGAGTCCCCCCGGGATTATTGGTCGATCAGTTCAAATTGAACGTTGTGCACGGTTATGTCCAAAAAGCCAACAGAAATTCAACAAATGGTTCCCCAACCAGGCCATTCCACTTCAATTAACTACGCTCTTGTTTTATGGTAGCTAGCTAATGGTTTGTGTGTATTGCAAAACTGATACCTATTTTTTTTTTTTACTTCATCGTTTCCAACCCATGTTCATCTTCTCCATCCCTGACCATCGTCGTATCTTTCTGGCTTATTTGTTCCCCTAAATGTTTGTCACCCCCTTTAAAGTAGAATTTTACTGTTTATTTTTATTTTTAAGGTAAGTTTTTATGTAACAAAACCTACTTATAATGTTGTGACATTACTCCCCTAACTCACATTACACTTCGGCATTTTACAAGAGTTTTAATGTGACATTACACTAACTCATTACATTACATTACATTAACTCACATTACACTTCGGCATTTTACAAGAGTTTTAATGTGACAATTAAAAAATGTTCTTAATATTCCAAGTCTAGAATTTCGTTGTGTCAAATTCATGTCCGTTAACACTTTATAACATTTTGAAGGAAGGAAATGGCCTCTAGTACAACACTTACAAAAATAGGACATTGAAGCTTACAAACGTCGGGGAGAACATCTTTTTCTGAGAGCCATGCCAGAAATAGTTTCACTTGAAGTATCAAATATGTACATGGAGAAATGTTTTCTGCATGTATGCATATATATATATATATATATATATAAATTTTCGTAAAAATTGCTGGATGTGTGTTGTATTTAGTTCCAGGGTACACAGGGGTACACAGGGTACACAGTGTCCACAGGATACACAGGGTACACAGGGTACACAGGGTACACAAGGTACACAGGGTACACAGGGTACACAGGGTAAGACTGGGTAACAGGGAGTCTATATGGAGACTGCCATGAATTACTTGCCACCTTAATAGTCCATTTTACAGTTGTGTGCTTGATTGCCAAGCCTTTGAATGGGAGTGAGGCTGGGGTTGACCTTGTTATGATACAAACCTTGCTGCCTTTCAAATGTAAATCACTTTGTTATCATGCTAAGATGAAGGGCTAACGCTCGAAACGTCAGCTTTTGTAATCGTTACGATGGCCAATTTGCCACTTCAACTTTGTTGATATATCCAAATTATTTTGTTACTCCCACCGACGCAGCCCCAAACAGTTTCTTTCGAAACTATCGGCCTTTGTTCATAAGTAGATACAGGTCTCTATCACAACAAGGTCACCTTCAGCCTCACTCTGAATCAAAGGCTTGGCAACTAAGTACACAACTGTGAAATGGCCTATTGTAAGGAAGGGTTATCCTACCAATATATTTGGCTAACATTCTTACTTTTTGTATAAATCAATCATTGTTTGTTATACTTTGGCTAAAAAATTACTCTAATTGTTAATCAGCTTACCTTTGCTAACACAAAATGCATAAAGAACAAGAATATTTCCTGAAAAACAAAATGTTTAAAATAAAATAATTATCAAATAAATACACAGGTTTTTACAGCTATAAAAATCATTTCAGCAATGACTATCACCATTATGAAGGAGTTGCTAAGGCAACCATTGAAACAGGGACATAAACATGACATGTTCAGTAATATCAGTAATATAACACCGAAGTCTTTTTCTGTACTTGCTTCATTTCCTGCAGAAACTACTGTATGTATTAGGCGGCACTGTATTAAGCGGTCACCCCGCCGATTATGAAAATTGTATTAGAAGATTTACGTGTTCTTCCTGATCACAGTTAATTTTGTCTAAGAGAGAGTAACAACAATGCCTCCTAGCTTTTGTAATTAATGCACAAGACTTAAAACGATGCAATGTTAAATTTCACACCCGTGCAATAATTTCACACCCATGTAGTCATGTAATGTCTAACTAGAATTTTCCCTTAATTGTTTGGAAGTGGTCTCCCATGAGTAGCAGTTGATTTTCACGTATTCAGTTGCAGTTAATTACCGGGACCATCAGAGAAACTTACTACGAAGGACTATAAATCAAACGCATAAAGTCTTACCGATGAAAACAAGAACCTGCATGGTCAAATCTACAACTGGTTCATTTGCAGCTGCGGATCGAATCTCCAGATTAGCTCTTAAATTTGCCCTTTAAATTCCAAATGAGCAATCTACCCAGTGATACAGACGACAGGAATGTCTACCACTCTATCCGCTTTTTTTTTTTTAAAAAAACACAAACATCTCGATGATGGCCTTGAGATTTGAGGATCGTTACAACGTTGAACGTTTGGAGACTGCTTGTTTTGGAGCTCGAGGCTGATTTAAAGTTTAGTCTGGTTCACCAGACTGCTCTGCAAGTTCTGCATACGTGACGTGTTACACGAAAATTTGGCTGTCAGTGGAGTCCCTTGTCTAGATCTTCCATATTTTTGCACCGAAGAAATGGAAAGTTCTAGAACATGAAATATACATTTTTTTGACATGGCAAGTCCTGCATTCATGTACAATGAAGGTAAAATCTCGTACCAGTATATTCTCGCGCCTCACAAGACGCGCCTCGGTGGTCGCTGACCGCGGGGCTGGAGACTGATTTTAATTAGAATTTTCTTCATTGATATTTTATCCTATTGTCAAGCTTTCCTTTCAAGAAAAAGAGTAAACGTGACGTGAGCTTTCATTCAATTTTGCAAGCGCTCAATGCAAACATAATGCACATCGATCACGAACTACCAACTAGCTTCGGACGGAAAACACTTTTTCCGAATCTTTCCGAGTATTTCACGATCTTGTCCGACGAATAACGAATCATGCGAACGTGATGGTAGCGAGAAATTGATTGTTTTGATGGCTGGTCGCTGTCACTATTAACAAGACAACATATATACTGAAAAGTGTATGAGTTATTGGCCGCTGTAAAACTATTCAATCGTTCGTATATTGTGTTATGGTGGAAGTCGGATGATGACTAGCTGATCAGTTCAGTATTGATCTTCAAGACGGTCCGAGTGTCCGACCTGTCTCTTTCCGGCCATCTTGACTTGTCGACGGATCTAAGTGGAACTTTGGAAAAAAATGTTGTTTTTTAGATAATGGCCTGAAAAGGGATCTTCTTTGTTTCTCTACGAGTATCAAAGGCAAGGTGTTCAGATTGGTCAGCTGGAAAGAAATACTATCGTAATAGTGTCTTTGGACTGTGAGGCGCTTGTTGTGAGATAGAAAATCACGATCATGCGACCAATCTCGTGTAGGAAATTCATGCAGACTTCCTTTGAGTCTCTATGATGTGAGGCAAGGAATGGCTTCAAGTCCAAAGGAGGCACAAAATGAGAATGAAAATCAGAATGATGCAGAAAACTCGCTCTCTGAGAGACAGGACGGTTCGAGCCACAGCCGTTCAAACAGCGCTATTTCTCCACCGGCTTGGCGGGTTGTGTTCTTGAGTTCCAAAGTGCGGCATTCCTCTGTTCTAAACTCGGCTGCTCGATCATCTGTTTTGTTTGTTCCTTACAAATATGACAGTTCAACGCTTGAATCACTTCTAACTCAAGCTCAGCATATTTTAGCAGGGCGAAAAGCTGAAAGCATGGCTTTCATGGCTCACGGACAGGGAAGCAATATGTTCATCTGTGCAAACGATGACCAGGTTAGCGAAAAACATATGATTTTCTGGGTTTTATTTAACTCATGTCCAAGGCATGTGCTGGTTTTAGTCGTAATCTTTATTTTTTACATTTTGGAATTAAAAAAATGCCAAATCCCTCTTAAAAAGAGGGTTTTAACGCAAAGCGAAACGTTATTTTTATTAGTTGTGTATTGAGTTCACCGGAAACGTTATCGAAATATTAAAATGCTAATGAAGTTGGCTGAGGTTGTGAGGAACTCAACCAATATACCAATGACAGCTGAAATTGCTCTCACGAACTATTGTTGTCTTCCTTGTCTGTTTATCAGTTTTACAGTTTTTCATCTGGTATGAAAAAAAAAACTTTTTTACACGATCTGAAAGACACTCAGCAAGTTGACATTTATTTCTTTTATTTCTCAAAGTGTGGGAGTTTATTGAGCTATAGTTATCCGAAATGGGTATAATTTTATTCTCTATGATCGTGATGTTGAAAACATGTTGTTTTTGTAATCTATGAGGAATTGTGTAAATTAACATGTAGTGATCATAACAACTTTTAATGACTTAAATAGTATTACCAGGAATCATAGCAATAATTTGACTTGTGTGCCTCGAGACTCAATGACAATTTTAAAACATAATGTTTTAATCAAGGTGATTTCACTTCATGCTGTCAAAGAACTTGAAGAATTGCAGAGTTTCTTCACGGAACTTGTCAAACTTTGTTTGGATGTTGATTCGCCTGGTGCTCGTCTAGACTTCCTTGCATGTCCCCTTTCTCAGAGCAGTGATGCGACAGAAATTGTAGAGATGCTGGAAGGCTTAACACAAGTAGGTTAACATCTGTTGCTATTATAGTGCTTGGGACAGGTGTTCAGAGCCTAAACTGAAATCATAATGAGGGATATAATCAGTAGACTTGGTAAACTTTTCATTACTTGAAACTGACTGATATAATACTTCCAGTGCTCGACACTAACTTTTCAACTTACTAGCCAAGTGGCTAGTGGCATCTTTGATATTACGACAATTTCAATTTGTTTGCTAGCTAAACTGAGAAGTGGAAATAAAAAACCACTAGCCAAAACTGAATTTCTACTAGTCTGTGGCTAGTGGGTTACTGTTAGTGTCAAGCCCTGACTTCTATTTAAAGGAAATTTTACCAAAAATTTTGAAAATATGGGTCTTCATTTTCAAATGAACCAATCTGGCTGAGTGGTTCAGTTTAAAGGTACATGCCTCTAGCCTTAGAGTTAACGTCTCAAGGGTTTAAATGTATGGACCCTCTCCATGCTTGAATGAAATGACATACTGTTAAAGTTTCCTTCATAAGGAACACCTCAGGGGTACAAGAAAGAGGTCCTGAATTAGAACTGGTTCTTCAAGAGATTTGAAATGAAGAATTTTTCTAAGAGCTCTTAAAACTGAAGTTAGATTTCAAAGTCTCTTTCATTCTTTGTTTTGTTTGTATTTTTTCCTTCCAGTTCAACAATTACAAACCTGTTTTAGTGATTACAAATAATGAAAAAAATGGTGAAGGGCATAATATATTTAGCTTTAGTAAGTAGATGCCCTTAAGTTTTAATTACATTTGTATATACTAGTTTAAAACAAAACAATACAAAGCCTCTTCAGTAAGAGCTATCCATATATGCAATATATTGTGTTTATCGAGAGAGCTTTCTCTGCATATTGTTTTGAATTATCATTTGATAACAGCCTACTGCTGATTTGCTTGGATGTTAGTAACTAAGCAATGAAGCTATGAAATAAAAAATATAAAGAAAGGCTGGCTGGCAATGTTCTGGAGGAAAACATCTAAAATTTGAAGTAATATTTTCTGTTGTGTTTTGGCCAAGTAATTTGTTTTTGTCCCTGTAAGAAGTAGTTTTCAGTCATTGGACAGGAGTTTGTCTGACAACCATATTTTCTGTAATTTTTTCGATTTATACTGAATACCTTAAAGAAGATGAAGATTTCTACTGTGACCATTTAAATCTCCTCTTGATATAATTTGTTGAAAGCCATATTTATTGGCTGGGTAGCTTGATAGTGCGCTAGGAAAACTACATGTATGTGTAATTGTAGCTAAATTAAACCATACTCAGTAGGTATTGGAGATGGGGGAATTGTCCAGCTATCTCACAGAATTCTCTAGCTCAGTTTCAGTGGCCTGAGGAATGTATTTTTCATATGAGAAGAGTATTCCCTGATTGTTATCCAGCTGCACCAAGTAGAGAACATGTAACATGCAAATCAAGTGCAAAGATCCTATGATATTGATTGGTCAATTTAGACAGTAAATTGGTTATTTTGAACTGGTGTGGGACTTGCACATTATTTAAGACCTGCCAGTGACCCTTTCTCTATTAGCTTCACTTTTCCTGCCCCATAACAAATAGATGTAAAATAAAGCAGTTAGATAATAACTGACATATCAGACATTTTGGTGTGTACTATCTCTGAGTACTTTTTCTTGTTGTTTGTGGTTTGTTGTTTGTGTCTAAGCTCCAACCCTGACTTCGAGTCCCAGCAAGCAAGCTTGTAAAAATACCCAGTGGTAATATGCAGCAAAAGCTCTAACAAGATATATCTGCATGTACTTTTATACTCTTCTCCTTTTGCCACATTTTCTTGATGAAAACCTTGATTGAATGTAGATTATATTGTTGTATGTTTTTTCAGGTTGCAGTGGGGATGACAAAGGAGATCATGGGTACAGATTTCAGGAACAAAGGGGATGAGTTGGGGTAAGCAACAGACCTCAGATCTTTGGGTCACTTTTATTTTCCCACACATGAGAATTTTTAATAACTTGTACACTAATATATGTAAATTAGTTCCCTTTTGGGTTTGGTTTTATTGTATAGTTCCATTACATAATTTGTACACCTTTGCAATTCAGCTTCCAGCTGCTATTAAGGTATTCTTAATAAACATCTATCTATCTATCTATCTATCTATCTATCTATAACTAAGCCCTCTTTCCTAATTTTTGTATTTATCAATGCTGTGATAAGGTTTAAAATTACTTTTACTACTCATTTCTAGCACTCAAAAGTCATATTTGTCTGTTGTATAGTAACTTACGTCCAGGGGAACTTTACTTCAAACAAGAAAAGATGCGAGGATGGTCTGGTGTGCAACAGCAAGACATCAGCAACTTTGAAAGGATTAGAACAGTTGGAAAAGGTAGCATCACTTGTTATACAAACAGTAAAAACTTTTCCTGAGACAAATGCATGTGAATTTCTTATCCAAACTACTGATTAAGTTTTCAAGAGCATGCAGGGACTTTCCATTACAGGTTCCAACAGTTTTTAAGCATTGAAAGAAAATTCCTGTACTCAAGATGTTGTGATGACTTGCAAAGATTGCTAAACGGAGTGATGTGAAGCTCTAAGTTTTTCAATTGTTTGGGAACTTACTACTCAACCTTGTGGCTTATTATTCTGCACTCTGACAAACATGACATTTAGTGCAGTTCACTTGACTTGTCTGATTAGAGTCTAAAGTCCTTCTTTCAGATTTACCATCATGATGATACATGTCATGGAATAAGTGTGGGTCATTTAGGTGAAATTGTTGTATACAGTAGTAGTACACATTTTTGATTGCCAGGCATTTAACACACCTAAATGCATTTGAGTTGAAAAGTGTATCATACATGTACACTTTTGTTTTGATATTTTCCAGGAGCATATGGTGCAGCTGTGCTGTATCGTAAAAAGGATGATGACTCACTTGTTATCCTGAAGGAAATATCTCTCCTTGACCTGACAGCAACTGAAAGGCAGATGGCAATGAATGAGGTTTGTCTCAGTCTACAGCTTTAATTCTGACTGTTTTGTTTTTTATTTTTATTTTTTTTTTATTTAATGATTCACCCGAAGATGGGTGTAAATACAATAGGACTCTTACGTCCCCTCCAAGATATTTACACCCTTAATCCCAACCCCTAAATTAGATTTAAAATCCCAACCCAACGCATTAAGCCTACTGTGCTCAATGAAAATCAACTTCTTGATGCTTGAGGTGTAAGATTATTTTTATTATTTGTACATGTATGTTTCTTTTGACACAGCACCATTTCAATTTGGATGTTAGCTTAGCAACAGTATGCTACATTATAGCATCTTGTCAAGAAAGTATTAAAAAAAATGGGAGAGTGTTAGAGCCACAAGTAAATATATGTATGTCAAGGGGGAAAAATTGGAAATTTGCCACGGGAGTTACATGATCTTGAAAATAATTCAAGATCAATGAGCAAGGATTGTACAGTTTAATTTTCCTGGTACAGGTCTTGAATTTTTTTCATGATCATTTCTTGCTGAAGGTAAAACACGTGGGTATGTTAAATGCTATTGAATTGTGTTTATATAGTTCCAGTATATGATTGTCTTGTTAAGTGTTGTCAACGAACAATTTCATATCTTCACAGGCCAAAGTGTTGTCCAAGCTTAGTTTGCATCCTAATATCATCAGTTACTATGACAGTTTTGAAGTGGATGGCACACTCATGATTGAAATGGAGTATGCTGATGGAGGGTGAGTTATTCAGCATCCACACAGTCTTTATCACATGGCTTTTATTTAAGATATCCTTCAAATTTAAGCTGCAAACAATTTAATACCTACCAAAATATTTCTCAAAGATAAAAGGCCCATGTAGTTAGTTATAACTTATCCACATTTTATAGAACATCAGGAAGGGGGGTATTGCTTCTCCCCCTGGATGGATTTCAATCTTTGCAGGTTACCTTTATTCTTTCTTGCCAATAAATTATTAGATTTCCCTTACAGTTTTTGCCTTTGTATTATTGAGTGTTGAGAAGACCTGCAAGAGTTTGATGTCTTGCCAAAAAATACCTAGGAATCTTGCAACCTGAACTTTTCATTCCACACTTCAAGCACCATACACCCAAACACAGCAATTATTAATTTAAAATGATTTTTTTTGCAGCTTCTCTCTCAAAGAATTTTCCTCTCATTCTGTGTCCTTTGAGCTTTTCCTTTTCCTTGTAGGACCCTAGCCCAGTATTTGTCAAGACTGGAGAAAGATATGGAGGAAAGAGAGATCCTAATAATCTTTCAACAGATGCTGTCTGCCTTGAAGTATATTCATGTCAACAACATCCTTCACAGGTCCTAGTTTGAAAATATTTTAAATATTATTCATTTACACTTGTTGTTTGCATTTTTTTAAATGTGTATCACAATTGAGGGAGATTTTATCTCAAGAGGCATAATTTGGACTTACTGGTTCTTGAAAGCTGTAAGTGACTTTTCAAAATTAGTACTCTGAAACATTTAGTACAAATGGAAGTACTATCATGCTCTAAGGGGTTCATGGTCTACCTGGAGGTTGGCAAAATTGTGTTCTGAATAAAAATTGTATAAATAAGTTTAGGTACATACATACAGTACATACATACATACGGTAATTGACCACTCTCTCATAGGGCTTTTCAGGGCCATTCTTACAACACTATCCACCCATCCCGCCCCAGGGGAGGACATCCACCACACAATAATCTCATGCATGGGAAATTAATGTCTCCTACCCCTAACCCTGCAGGAGATGGGACCTACGGTTTATTCGTCCTTATCCTAGAAGACTAGAATATCTATCCACTTCCTGATATTACAGAAAGGTAGCAAATTCTCCTCAGTTGTTTTAAGACCATGAGTATTGGTCCAGCCGGGACATGAACCCTTGACCTGCCGCACAACACAATCCGGCGCTCTAACCAACTGAGCTAACCGGGGGGTGGAAGGTCTGTCTTAAATCTCAATGCTTCCTGAATAGGTCTCCTAATTTGTAATTAGAAGCAGGCACGTTGGTACTATTACAGCAATGATTATCTGATGATTTGACGGTTGTGTACTTTTGATCCTTATAGAGATTTGAAGACAGACAATATTTTCCTTACAAAGGAAGGTGTGGTCAAACTGGGTGACTTTGGTATTAGTAAACAGCTGGAGGGCTCCAAGGCAAACACAGTGCTGGGAACACCTTATTATATTTCACCAGAAATGGTAAGCTTATCTGGTCGTGGCTGTTTGAATGCTTGACAGAGCTAGCCCCTCAGTAGGTGGATTCATGCTGATGTCATTGTTTACATTTTTGCTCATTTGCATACGGCTTTGCGTAAAGAAGGAAGCATGTTAGATACAAATTGACTTCAGGCAGCTAAAGAGCTAGAAAACCTCAGTACATGGTGAAATTTTTAGCTCTTTGGGTGTAATATTCAAGGAGAAATAGTCCATCAAAAACTGCAAAATTTCTGGGTGGCAAAAGCGCTAATGAGCTCATACATTCTATGTAAAATTTTGAGTTTTTAAACCCGTGTTGTGCAAAAAGTATTCAATGCATCAGGCTCGTATTTATTGGCTGAGTTAATCGTACTTTGACCTTTCGATATTCAGAACTGATTTATTTTTAGCTCCATCAGAAACTGAATTGCTTATGCTAATGAGGCAAATATTGTAAACAAGGATTCCCCTATAAGCTGTGTTATTATATGTATTATATGGCTGTGTCTCACAAGGATTGGGAACTACTGAATTCACGAATTTGATTGGCTGAAATCAGTATTTAAAGCGGTCTAGATTTTCCCTTCTAGACCGGCATCTAGACTGGTCTAGAAAAAAAAGGTACAAAGAATATAAAAAAGTGGTATACAAGACACAGCCATATGATAAACATCTTATTAACTGAGCTAGGTCGGTCTGTATGGGAGAATCTTGACCTCGGTCGCTGGTACAGACTTCACTGCGTTCGGTCTGTACTGGTGACATCGGTCAAGATTCTCTCATACAGACCTCCCACTCAGTTAATAAGAACTAAATATAGCCCTGGTTGTTTTAAGGGTGGATAACATTAGCCACTGCCAGGATTCATTTTATATCAGGTGGACAGCACGATACATTTTGTTGACATTTATTTGTTGACATTTATTAGTTAGATAGCAGTTTTTCAGTTGGATCAAGTTATGTGCCATTTGAATAACTAGGCCCTGGTGATTACATGACAGCAAACAGACCACTCCGTTCAGCAGATGATGATTCACTTGCTATCTAGTGGCAGTGGTATCCAGCCTTTGAACAATTGATCATTGTCACATGTCTGCAAAAGAACTCGTATTGAATCACGTTTGTTGCAAATGATGGGTGCCTATAGCCTCTATCTTCATTGTGGACTTTCAATCTCAATTTCAAGAAGCATTCAGAGTGGTATAACATTCTTAGCTCTACCAACCTTTTTTTTTTTTTAAGCCATCCCACCTCCTGCCACCAACCCTTCTACCTACCCTTCAGGCTTAACATGCAGCATACAACCATTGAGCATGAAAAAAGCATAAGAGTCACACAACTGAGAGCGACTCTAGCTTCTTGAGTGCTTAGCAAACTTCCCTTATGCATCCATAACTTGATGGTTGCATGCTGCATGCTGTACACTATCCATTTTTTTTATAACATTGAGACTTTCATACATGAGAGAGAGACTTTATTTCAAGAGGGTAGCACGTGACAGTAGTTAATCTGATAATCCTGTGGCCCTCTATTAACCCACCCATCCCATGCCAGGCAGAGGACATCCATCACTCAGTAATCTCGTGTGTGGGAAATTAGCATCTCCTACCCCAACCCTGCAGGAGACAGGACCTCCATTTATTTGTCCCTATCTGAGAAGACTAGAATATCTAACCATTTCTTGATGTCATAGAAAGGTAGCAAATTCTTCTCAATTTCTTGTTTCGTGTAAAAAAAAAAAAAACAAGCAGAACTAACTGACGTCAGCATGCAACCCACGGGCAAATGGATTGAGCGTGATGTCCAATCAGAGTGTGCGTCTTTTTAGAGCTATTTTATAATTAATGAATGACATTCATTTGGAATGGCTTTTTGCAGTGTGAAGGTAAAGAATACAACCATAAGAGTGATGTTTGGGCTCTGGGCTGTATACTTTATGAAATGGCCAGTAGACAAAAAACATTTGAAGGCTCCAACCTTCCAGCATTGGTCAACAAAATCATGAAGGTGAGTTACAGACACAAATGAGAGCATCTAACTCAAGACACTGTAACTTTCTGTTTATCACTTATGAAATTGCCAATGTTGTTTACATTTCTTCCTCTTGGCTTTTTGTCGACTGATATTTTGTTAACAAAGTGAGAGTGTGTTACTTTTCTGTCCAAAAGAGTCAATCTTGGTTGTAATTAACCTTTGAATTAAAGGAAGGATGTGGGTCTACAGGAAGGATGTGGGTCGAGTTTTTTGGGGAGTATATAGCGTTTGTGGTGGTAATTTACTAAATCCTCTTCCTGGTGTATGCAAATGTTATCAAATTCTTTCTCCAATTAATGTGTAATCTTGGATGTATCAATTGGGAGGAACTGTGCTAAGTTGTAACATTGTGGATAGAAGCCAATCCATCTTTTGTGGTTTATGCTCTGTTTCAGGGTCAGTTTGCACCAATAAGAGGGAATTACAGTCCAGAGTTTAGAGCTATAGTAAGTATTGGACAATACTTTTACAGATTAAGGGTTTTGCCTATTTGTTGTGATACTTATTTTTCTCCTCCTTATTTTACTAGATTAGTGAAGTTTGCTATGATTTAATATCTATTCATTTCAGGTAGGGGAGATCCTTAAAAAAGATCCAGACTCAAGACCAGATGTGGACTTGTTGTTAACCGAGTGTCTCCCTAAGGTATTTTTCTGATGAATGTCAGCATTCTTATTTTGTCTGATTATGTATTACTTACAATACATGATAATTTGTAAAATTGTCTTTTGATGTGTAGTTTTGACTTTGATGAGAGCTGTTGTCTATGATTCAGTGAGGCAGACTAAAAAATTAATATTTGAAGTATATTCTTTTAAACTATTCCCTCTTTTGTATGACACATGACTGAAATAGATTGAAGTTGAAAAGCTGATTGTTGGTGGTTGGGGTAAATGGTCTTATCCAAAAAAACTGTTTTTTTTTTTCATTGGTGTGACATTGTCCTGCCCTGATCATGCTCTGGGCATTTCAGTGGGCTCTTCCAATTTTATTATATTGGTAGTAATTATACAATCCATGTACTATAGACATTTAATTATGCACATTGCTTGTAACTATTGGTTTTAGATTCTGAAAATGTGTGATTGCGGGTCAACATAAATCAGCTAACGTACACAGAATCAACACATCATATCAAGTGTCATTGATTGATGGATGGATTGATCAACATTATTGTGTATCCTAAAATTCAACTAATGTTTTGGTTTTCAATTTTTAAAACCAGTATGACATCAGTTACCCTTTGTCTTGTATTTATATTCAATCTGAAACAAACGAGGAAAAACCCAGCTGGTTTGAAAACTTTAATTAAAAGAAAAAGTTTGAGTCACAACAATTACAGTTGTATTTTGCCCCTAGGGACATTTATTTTCCAATCATGAGTTGTTTGCTTTAAATAACTTTTTTTTAAACTCAAACTTTTGTTGTGTTTTAAAATGATGTACGTTCGGCTGCATAATAAATGCACTTTGTATGGCTTCACTTTTGAAATCTGACTTGTTTGCAACATTAAAAAAAGATTGTTTGAATATTAATTTATAATTATCATTATTTTTAAGCTCATGAAAAGATTTGAAGACACAAGTGAGGATGAACTTGGAGGCTCGATTGATCAAAGCCGTAAAGTAAAAAAAAGGTGATAAAATTTTCCTTTGGTTCTTCCTAATCTGGATGCATATCCAGCATCTGAGATAAAGGATTCCTTGGGCTGCATGGCTTGAGATATCTTTTTTATCCAGATGTGGAGAATGTTCCTTTGTCGCCTATCAATAATCTTCTGCAAGAAAAGTGTTATAATGCTGCAATTTTCTTGTGCAGGATGTAATTCCCGTTATATTGACGAAACTAGTCGCCACTTCTCTACTAGGATAAAGGAGCACACGGAAAGCGATAAAAACTTGCATATATTTAAGCATTTCAACACATCTCCTTCTTGTAAGAACAAATACTCCCTTTCTTGCTTTAGTATTCTGGATTCTGCTAACAACTCAATTGATTTAAAACTCAAAGAAGCTTTTTATATAAATAAGATCAAACCTGAACTTAACAAACAATTACAGCATTATAACACTTTTCTATCGTTTTAGTTCACACCTTTGATGTTCGGTGTCACATTGTAATTAGTACCCGTTTTTGTATTACATCATACTGTAAATATTTTATTCATCTACTTATCTGTTATATAATTACTCACATTCGTTTACTCATTGATTGAAGATGGCATAAGCATGCCGAAACATGTCTCTCAAAAAAGTTGTCTTTTTCTTACAATATTTATCATACTTGCTACTACTACGACCTTAAAGTATCTTTAAAATTAAACAGTATTTGGAACACTATGAATTTGTGGCTAGAGAATACTGGCATTTCTTATAACCCTAAGAGTTATGTTCATTTATCTCACCTATTCTTCATGATTATTCATTTGTCTGTATTACACTACCTCAAGTACATGTATATCACCTCTTACCTTCTGATTCATTGAAGTATAATTGTATTATTTCAGAACTCTTCTGTATTACCTGGACTTATTGTATACCAACATGTGTCCCATTGAAATTCCTGCCAAGGGACAACTGAGAGAGGTGACAACTTCTTTAGTTAATTATTTCTGAAATCATAACTTTTTCTTGCCTAATTGCTTTGCAAATTAAAAAAAGAAGTCTGTGTTTGCCTTCTTACAATGTACATGTAAGAAACAATGACCAGGCTACTTGAAGTTTTGCTTTAATGCTGATCAATTCTTTAAGTCAGATGTATGTTGAGTGGTTAGTAATTATTATTAATTAATTGATACTTTACTCAATATTTCAGTCAGTTTTAATTGAAAATTATTTTATCGTTTACTTAATATTTTTATCAGTTTTGTTAAATATTGTATAATTGTGTCTCCAAATTGTGCCTTGGCACTAGAAGGACTAGACACAGAAATAAATAAATAAATAAATTTAATTAATTAATTAATTAAATTAATTAATTGATACTTTACTCAATATTTCAATCAGTTTTAATTGAAAATTATTTTATCATTTACTTAATATTTTTATCAGTTTTGTTAAATACTGTATAATTGTGTCTCCAAATTGTGCCTTGGCGCTAGAAGGACTAGACACAGAAATAAAGGTTATGTTGTGTGTTTGTATGTATGTAGATACATGTCTGCACTGCTACTTACATAGTCTGCAGGACCAGTTCCTGCTTCTTTGAAATATTTGGTACTTTTCCATTAAGGAGGGCTTTGAAATCTGTTTGTCGCCAAAAATAATCTTCTACGTACTAGATAGAGTCTTTTATCATTCTCATAATTAATTATTACACCTGTTTGAAGGTTGCTGTTGGCAGTTCTCATGTTGCCATGGTAACAATGGAACATGTAGTTTACACATGGGGTAGTAACTGCTGTGGACAGCTTGGACATGGAGATAGTTGCAGTCTAGAAAAACCTGCACAAGTAGAAGCACTCAAAGAAAAAACTATTTGGAGGTAGGGGATTGGAATTAAAAAAAACAAAGTTCTGTGAGACAAGATTTGTTGATCAAATGTAACTATTTGATTGTGTTAAGTCTGGTCATCACTGGCATCGTTCCTTCCGCTCTATGTGGAGAACAAGGCCAGGAAGGCTAGTTACCTTTTACTTAGAAAATGTTTTCATTGAGCGTCTTGAAAACCAAACCAAACTCATCGCTATGGCAAACTAGAGGGTTGATAGGAAATTATGGGGTGCCAAATGTATTTTTATTATTTAGAGTGGTTATTTGTATATAACCAAAACAAGTATGGTTACATGTAAATAACCACATTGCAGTTTGGTTGTTTATAAATAACCAAAACGAGACATTGGTTATTTATAAATAACCAAAACACGAATGTGGTTATTGGCTAAATAACCAAAATTGCAAAGTGGTTGTTTGCTAAATAGCCAAAACTGAAAATTGGTTATTTGTAAATAACCAAAACTGAAAATTGGTTATTTGCTAAATAACCAAAACTGAAAAAGTGGTTATGTGCTAAATAATCAAAACTGAAAATTGGCTATTTGCTAAATAACCAAAACTGAAAATTGGTTATTTGCTAAATAACCAAAACTGAAAATTGGTTATTTGTAAATAACCAAAACTGAAAATGTGCCACTTAGAAATTCTCAGCAACAGGTACGTCTCAAGGCAGATCGATAGCGGTGTGTTGTCTTCCGAAATGTTAAAATGTCTTGTTGTTGTTGTTATTTCCTAGTTCAAAAATAGAAGGAAGTCCAAAATTCCAATTTACGAGTCTCAAGAGACCACAAGAGTTTTTTTCTCTGTATGCAGCAGTCCAGGGTGTACCAAAAATAAATTACGGGTACAATCTAGCATCAAACTCCCTCAAACTCATTGTTTACTATTCTGAAAGTAAATATTTCGGAAGACTTCCTTCTATTTTTGAACTAGGAAATAACAACGACAAGACATTCAACATTTCGGAAGACAACACACCGCCAGCGATCTGCCTTGAGACGTACCTGTTGCTGAGAATTTCTAAGTGCATTGCACTCTGCAGCAGAAATTCTTGCTACCGCGTCATCGTTGGAAGCCATGTTGAGAGAGATCGACGTTGAGTGTTGGTCCGGCCGGGGCTCGAACCCTCGACCTCCCGCACAACAGTCCAGTGCTCTATCCATTGAGCTAATCGGGAGGCGGTTAACTCATTGTAGCAAATGAGCGCGAAATGAGCGGGAAAACAGGCCACGTTGTTGTTACGTCTCCATACCAAATTAGGTAAATGACCAATTTTGCGCTAAATAACCAATTTTCCATGATTTTGGTTATTTAGCAAATAACCAATTTTCAGTTTTGGTTATTTACAAATAACCAATTTCCGGTTTTGGTTATTTATATTTAGCACATACCCAATTTTCAGTTTTGGTTATTTACAATAACCAATTTTCAGTTTTGGTTATTTAGCAAATAACCAATTTTCAGTTTTGGTTATTTACAAATAACCAATTTTCAGTTTTGGTTATTTACAAATAACCAATTTTCAGTTTTGGTTATTTAGCAAATAACCACTTTGCAATTTTGGTTATTTAACAAATAACCACATTAATGTTTTGGTTGTTTGCTAAATAACCAATGTCTCGTTTTGGTTATTTATAAATAACCAAACTGCAATGTGGTTATTTACATATAACCATACTTGTTTTGGTTATATACAAATAACCACTCTAAATAATAAAAATACATTTGGCGCCCCATAGGAAATGTATTCGAACGGCTCTTTCGACATTGCTGATCCTTGCAGCGCGCGCGTCTCGTATGAAATTAGTAATTTATTAACCCACCATATACAGCAGGTCTCTGTAACTCAGTGATGAGGGGTCGGAGCGTGTAATCCGAAGGTCTGAGGTTTGATTCCTCATTCGGACTCAGATTTCTCTCTTTGACTTACGTTCGTGACAGGACGGAAATGAGATCTATTTTTAGAGAAAGCAATTCTAGAGACACCTTAGAACTCAAATTGAACACAAAATGTAAGAGTGAAAATATGTTGATGTAGATCTCAACCAAGAAAAATTGTTTCTTTGTCCCAAATGATCACCATGTTTTTTTTTCTCTTTTGTTCCCAGAGTAAGCTGTGGAGATAAATTCACAGTGTTTGTAACAGACAATGGTATTGTGATGACTTGTGGGCAGGGTGAGCTCGGCTGTTTGGGGCATGGGGACTGGTCCAGTTCATCCAAACCGAAGTTGATTGAAGCGCTGTTGAGTTTTGATGTGACATCTGTCAGCTGCGGTAATGCTCATGTTGCCGTGGTTACCAGTGATGGTGTAGTGTTCTCATGGGGCTGTGGAGAAGATGGGAGACTGGGTCTGGGCGACGAAGATAATCGGTACGCGTTGACGGGTTGAACCCAGTGAAGAAACAAAACTAATGTCATACTTTGAGGCTTGTCACGTGTAACGACAGTATTTGCCTTTTACACAAAAATTTGTGTAATTGAAAAGAGTAAAAGCGTAGTTAAACGTAAAACCATCTCGACTGGCTGTGTCCCTATCAGCTCATGGATGTCGACAAGGCGAAGAGGCTTTTTCCAGCGAAAGACAATTTTTTCCTAAACATTACTTGCATATCTCCTCGCTGAATAACGAGATATGCTTTTGATCTTTACTGGCTTTCTTACTTGACTCCTAGAAAGTCTCCTTCTTGCCTCTGTAGCGGTTTTCTGACAAGCAAGAATTGTATTTTTGGTAACATATCAGTAGCTTGGGCTTCTTGTGCAGAATTTAATGTTTTTTTTTTTTAATCCCCACAGCTGTATTCCTACAGAAGTGACCACGATAGATGACACCGTGTCTATAAAACAGGTCAGGTGCGGCTATGACGGGACAATGTTCCTCACTGATACTGGAGCCCTTCTCGCCTGTGGCAGGTTTGTCGAAAGTAGTTTTGCTCTCTCCATTTCTGTTCAAACAGGTTTTGAAAACTACGGAGATAAAAGTGATAGCAGAAGGAAACTCAGAGGCATTCGGATATGTCGTGGCAATTGTTTTAAACATTGACATTTAGCATGGGACCATGAACCCCACTGGGCAAAACAGACGAAGAAATGAATAACGGAGCCCTAAAGGAAAACCGGGAATCACGGGTCATATCACCCAGTAGTCCCAGATAAATATTTATTTCCCGTGGTGATAAAGAACATTTGCTGGTGCCTTTTGGTTTATATTGTTGTAGTGATTGGTACTGCACTGTTGACTTTATATCTTACTTTAACCCCAAACAGAAGCAATGACCCAGACTAGGTTATATATATCTGTCAATAGTTATTGACTTGTATTTCTTGACTTTCTCTGTAACAGCAATGCAAACAATAAGCTTGGACTTAACAACCGCCAGGGATTCCTGATGCAAATGAAGAACCTCCTAAATAAGGTACAACTGTGGCATGCGGTGTAGTCGGTATTGTAACTCTGTTGGTTAACAGCGTAGTAAGTTTGTCGCAACACAGTTCAAAGATCGTCTTTAGCGTTATTCGTGTACTTTTTCTTTTAAACCTGGCAGCTTGCTCGTTTTCATGAACTTTAGGGAGATCCGGTATAAATGGAAACTATCAGATACAAAACTTGAATCTATCTCGCTTTTGTTACCAGCGTTTTCTTAATCCCATTTGAGGTATTTATTCCAAGTTTCTGATTCAACATATTTACTTTGGTTTCGGTTCACGACACTCAATCATAACGGCTCGCGTTGACATAATGCTGTTTTCCAAACTGAACAGGTCCAGGTTGATGGCAAGAACGTCCCCACAGCTGTCAAAGTGTTATCCAAGCACCGTGTGCTTGATGTATCCCTGGGTCCCGCCCATAGTGCGGCGCTTGTGGAGCCTGGTTTGGTGTACACGTTTGGTGACAATCAGTACGGACAGCTTGCGTGTAATAACTGCAAACCTCGAGAAGTACCAGCCATTGTCAAGGCGTTAGAGGAAAAGACGACTTCGGTGAGATGACGATGATTTTAGATTCAGACTGTGTAATGATTAGTTTATTACACACTCCAATTAATCGTTATCGTCGACTCGTTTGTGTCTATTTTCGTTTGTGTGTTTTTTTCCATCGGTCGGTCATTGGTTTGGTTTGCATTTTAGAAATGAGTATGATATGTGCTTGCAAGTTAGGAGAAATTTCTAGTACTAATACTAATACTGTATGTATTTCAACATTTATCTGTCTTGTTATCGCCTCAATTTACACCAATCAGGTTGAGGAACAGATGTCGCGTCATCTCTGCCAACCACTTAAGCATCTCTTGCTTAACCACCTTGCCCCCCTCCTCCCATCCCCCCTTCTCCCTTCCCCCCTCCTCCCTTCCCCCTCTTCCCTTCCTCCCCCCCTCCCTTCCCCATCCAGCGCTGTTAGTAACAGCTGATCGATCTGGGGCCCCCTTCACGTCGAGGATCTTTTTAATTATTCTTTCCTCCAGCTGGTTGACATTTCCTTAAATTACTAGATAATTAGGTATGATATCATCGCAACACTCTCAAGCTGATGTGTGATGTTATCCATGTCACAAGATTCCTTTTTTTAATTTTCTCAGCCACTTAATTTTGACTTGGTTGTTCTTTCAGATGATTTTCTGCGGCAATGGCTTCACGCTGGCCGGAACGAATGAAAATGACCTGTATTTTTGGGGGACAAGACCCGCTGATCGCAAACGCAGCCAGAGCGAGAGTGGAGACAAGACAGATACTGAAGGTAGCAGCAAAAAACACATGCGAAATCCAAGTGCAAGCTTGAGTATCGGCAGCGCTGATAGCTTGGAAATGTCTGGGTAAGGATGTTAAAACAAGTAACGTTTCTGGGAGAAAAGGTGGTCTGGGTTGAAGCCTGGCACAAATCTTCACAAATTTATCCATTTATTTTCAGGAATAAGAGCGATCATAACAGCGGAAACCATTCATGTCTATCAAAAGATACCAAGAAACGCAGAGAAGGCGTGCTCGAAAGTTCAAGCGCGTCAAAACTCGAACGGGGAAAAAAAGAGGGAATGCAGGAAGGTTTCTCTATGCCACAGTCTTGCAAGAAACGGAAGGATGGAATCCAAGAAGACCTTAATGGAAGCAGTGCTAGTCTGATGCACAAATCCGCTGACGGGTCAGTGGACAGTTTGACAGTTTTCTGGGTTCCGTGCCGTTTACATTGGTGATGTTTGGTTACGATTCCGCGCTCGGAAATGTAGTTCAAGAATACGAGTAGGGTTTTGTTGGCGAGAAACTAACAAAAGACTGCATTAAAGTTGTACTTTGACGATTTTTTTTTTCCTTTTTCCATATTTCTTTCTTTATCTACAATCCGGCCTGAGGGTATGCCGAACTCGATTTGGTACCATAGGTGACTCTTTCCTCTCCCACGCTCGGGATGGGGGATCTCTGTCAACTTTTTGTTTGTTGTATAGACTACCGTTGAATTTTTCGTCCTTTTTTCCTTCTTTCCAGAGTATTTTCTGATGGTGATTGTGGATCAAAGGAAGACCCGTCTGTAAACTACATACGAAATACCTCGCGAAGAGGACAGCTAAGCGACCAAACTTTTGCCGCAGGATTTTTGCGAATCAGCGACAATGAGACAATACCTTCGCCTGTGCGATTGTTTCACTGGGACACCTACAGCATGTACGGAGCGGGGCAAGAGCACGAATTTCCCGTCTATTTGTTGGACGTTAATGGTTTTGGCATCAACGTTTTCGTACAGATAGAAACAACAGCACCACTTCCTTCCAAGAGGAGATCAAAGAAGAGATCATCTAAGAAAGCTAGTGAAAGACGACTGTCTAAACAGGCCTCAGTCTCTGATAGGTAGATATTGTCGTTCACGTGATCAGTGCGTGACTCAGTCAGGGAGAACATAAATTTTCGTTTCAACTGCGCCGATGATTTACCGTTTTTAACTTGACATCGCCGTGATTCTAGGGTAGAAGTGCTTACACATGATATAGAAGGGTATGACATGAACGGCATCTTCCTATTAAAATATCAACAGCTTATAAAGCATCTGTATTTTAGAATCGAGATTTTACAATAATGAGGGAAAGTGAAAAGTTCAATGTCAGTTAGAAGAGCTATGATCCCTCTCATTTGCTCTCAAATTTAAGTTTCCGTCTTTTTCTCCCGCTTTTAAAATAATTTCATCTAAGCTGTCACCACAAGGCTTAATCCATTAAGAAGCACTGAATATTGTTTTACAGTATTTCTGGTCACACCCGAGGACCTGCTGGTCTGGACTCCTCGATGGGATCAAGCTCATCGGAACTTGAGACTACGTTGGGTGAGGTAAGAATGGCAGTAATGATTTTCAAGAAAGAAAATGGTGTTTATAAAAATTTCCGACTGTATGTGGTTCGACTTCATAAGCGGCACTTACTCACCAGGTGGAGGATAAAACCACTAAGAGTGTGTTAGGAGCCAATGATGGCGCGAACAGTAAACACCTGTGAGCGTAGAAAGACGCAAGCGTTCCAGGTTATGATTGCTTCAGTTTTTTGAGAAGGTGGCGCGAGATTTTTACACCAATCACGAATTATACAAAGGAATAACATCGCAGTCCCCCTTTTCTCTTGGAACTTTCAGTTAAGAATAAGAAGCTGTTATTAATTATCATATGAAGTCATTACCTCCGTGAGCAGTAGAGATGTTTTGCACATGTTGAAGAGAGGGACTATGTCAATAGCGTTGTTTTATTTACTTTTGATTTAGGCCCCCACTTGGCTGAAAAATGAACTCAAAGAAGGAATCGTACGTGGAGGTGAAGATCGTGATGACTCAGAAGATGAGGACGGTGACAGCGAAGAAGCAGACAGTGAAACGGAAGAAACAGACAATGGTGAGATGGAAGACTTTGTATCAGAGACATCCACAGCTAAAATTCCGCATCTGCACGCCATGAACCTAGAGTTAAAAGCTCAATTGTGAGCCTGTAGACATATCTAGAGCAGACGCCTTCTGTACAAAATGATACTTTTCTTTCTCAATAAACAAGTATGCGTGTTTATCTTAAATATGGGAGCCAGAAGATGGGCCTCGGTTAAACCCATTGTACAAAAACCAGTCGATGGATGAACATAGAAAGGAGTGGCTTATGTGGCTGATAGATGACTTATAGATGCACACAACAAGCGGTCATATATGAAGTATCTAATTAAATTAGAGAAGCTACATAATGAAGGGTCTGAAGTAATTGATTCCTCACACAAGATCGTAGTTAAGCGACTGCTTATAAATCATTTTTTATCTTTGTGGCTTCTTTATCCCGAACAGGTTTGGACAGAGAGAAATCGAAGCTGACGGTGGCAGTGGAAAATGCATCAGACAGTGAGAAGAATTCTAAGAGCCCCACCAAAAAGCTGGCAGAAAAAGTGGAACGATTTAAGCAGAGTCGAAAGTCTCGCTCGGAGACAAGGATTGTTGGTGGTGTTGCTATAAACACTGTGGGTAATAATGTTCCTTTGAGTGTACAGTCGAGTGCTGTGTCGGTGAAATCAGAATCAGAACTGGACAATATACAAAACAAGGTAATTGTTTTATTTTTGTGTCATTTTAGGTCAAAGTTCGAAATCGTATTTATCTAAAACCTGAGGTGTTTATTTTAGTTTGACTATTCTTCCTTTTCACCCTGTTTTCATCTTTATGCCGACTTTAGCCATTCCTTTGTTCCCTCCGTTTCTTATTTCCCTTCCCCTCATACTCGTTCCCAATCCTCTCGCTCTCCTCTACACCCCCTTCTTTCTCTTTTCTTCTCACACATTCTTCCCTAACGAATATTACTAACGAGAGCTATGCTGGAGATCCCTCTCTTATGGAGATCAGCGCTCCTTGAATCCCAATATGATATACAGTGGTGGTACACAATGATAAACTGCAGGGCTCGCCTGACCAAGCAGACAATTTCCAAAGCTCTCCTGCAGTTTGAAATGATTATAGGCGACGTAAAATAGCCTGTCTCATGCAGATTGGGTTAAAGCTGGGTCCTACTATGGTAAACACCCTGTGTCATTCTCACTGATATCTAAGAATTTACTGTCGTCTTTGTTCGCGACGCTGATTGAACTTGTTAGATATGAGGCATTTTCCATTTCGCGGTTTGCTTCGTTACTTCCATAATCGTCAAGGTTTTTATTTTGTATCATCGATAGTTGATATCCGCTGATTTTGCAGTAAATGCCAGTAGGTAATTGAGCTAGAAAAGTTTGCGTCTTGAAATGTTGTGGATGGTCACAATCAGGAATGTAATCGGACCTTCAATTTTATTCTAGGAAACTGGCACCGAGTCTACCAAGAAAACTAAACCCAACACTAAGGAGTCATTAAACTTGTCCAAAGTGTTTCCTCGGCCCGCTAGTAGTCCAGTAACCTCAAAACACAAGCGTTCCTCGTCGGACGGAATGATCATTGACGAGAAGACAAGGACAACCTCAGACTCTGGAGTAGAGTTAACTCCTGTTGAAAAATTTAGCAGCTCAAGTGAAGGATCCGGCAGCACGGCGAGTGGCTCCCGGAAGATTTCGTTAGAGTAAGTAGAGGGTGCCGTTTCCTCGAATAACGTGTCCCGATATCCGGCGTAGCAGTCTTTTTTGTTTCGTTTTTTAGGCAAGTAGGAGAGGGTTAAGCTAAGCAGGTTGCCTTAAAGGAAACAGAAAAGACTATACGCAGGAAGATATGTTAGTTTTTTTCAAGTTCAGCCGCAAGCAAGTATCTTATCACAGGACGGAACTTTAAAGAAAGATGTTCAACAGTTGACATAGGTCTTAGAAGACTTATAAAAGGGTAGAATCTGAACCCTTTCGAACCCAAAGTAGTTCCGATGTCGCCTACGGGTGGTCTTTCAACTAAGCTACAAAGAAATACCGGCCTCATTCTAGGTTCATGTGTGAAGAGCTTCCTGCAAACTGCAAGGGTCATTAATGTTGAAAGCGCCCAGTGTGCAAGAAAGGGGAGGAGAGATGATACATTTTGTACTCGGTCGTCGACCATTCAACTAGGTTACCACCATACTCTGCCCATTGCAGCCTGACATGTTCGTTCGTCTTCTCAGTATAGACAAATAGGGGATGCCCCCCCTGTTTTTCTTATTACTTGCTCCTTTCTCCTTCAGCAAAAGAGTAACGAAATGTTAGAAACAAGGCATCGAGTAAAGCGCTAAAGGAGGACATTAACGTTAGCTCGTATTTACTCAATTGTTTCTTTGTGTTTTAGAGTGCGGGTTCCGAAGAAGAGTGCTGGGTAAGATAGTTTAGCTCGGTGATGAATGTCAACACCTGTATGGAAGAACGTAAAACGTTTAATACATGCATCTCATTATGTTACACGTATCAATCTTACTAATTTTGGAGACTCTTCTCTCTGGTTTTCGGACCAAAATGAGGTGATTTTTGGATTGCATCAACGAATCAGCAAGAAAAATGGATGCATCTTTGTCCTGTTACACTGCACCGAGATGTTTTAGTATTTTTTTCAATTCGCTGGTTTATTCTCTAAACAATGAAACGTTCTGGAACAAGAGTTAAGTTAAAGTTAGAAATATCCCTAGATTTACGTACTCTTACTGCAATTTTCAAGTCGATCATTTCCTTTAAATTATGATTTAAAGGAAATGATCGAATGGATATCTCTCAGTGAGTAATTGAGTGCATTTTTTTTAGACGACCAATAATACCTAAAATGCAGTGGAATACACTATTTCAGTTTATTTTTATTTTTATTAACAGCTTTAATATTTTACGTATTTTAGGAGCATGTCGCCTCAAGCCGCTCGCTCTCCAAGAGCCAACGATCGGCAAACGAGCATGAGTAAATCCGTAGATCGACATCTGGAGCACAGGTGAGTAGAGTATGAGCCAATCAGTGAAATATATTTTGGTCATTCCCCTGCTTGCTAGTAAAGAAATGATCCTTGCAGATAAGCCTCAATTAAAAAAATTGCAGAAAAGAAGTCTGAAAAAACTCAGTCTTCGACGGGATATTATTAACCTTGCTTCTCATACACTTGTTGGGAACCAGGCAGATTTATGTGGGTTACCTTTGTTTCTGTTTAGGAATCTGATCACAGTTAAATAAGGTGTCGATTTTGCTGGGGCTTATTTTCGTCGCGTGACTTATTGAACGAATCGCGTGCTCGCTAAAATATTTGATACATTACCATACCCATAAACAATTTTCTAAATATCCTTTTCCAGGAGACCCGCGGGCAGGGCGCGGTATAGTCAGGGTCCATCTAGGAAAGGAGGGTAAGTCAGGGGTACAACTTTTAATTTCACAATTTTCGATTTGTATCCTTTTGTTTTTCCGTCGGACTCCCGTAAAAAATTCTTTTTATCTCAGTTTTTTTTTTTTT